GGATTTCTACCTAAGCTGGTCTCAAAAGCATTACTGCGGCCTTGGGGCTGAAATGAACAGAAGGAGGCAGCCTTGCAGGCCATCTTGCTCGCCTCCGTGCATTGCTAATGGACATCCAACCGGTAGCTTTTCTGGGTGAAGACCTTCTGTGAAGAGCAGCTCCTTGGCTCCAAGGCCAAACTGCTCCTAAAACCGACATTTCCCCAGGTTATCAAATTAAATCTCAATCTTTTAACATTCAGATTGTCTTAAATCTCACTGACCTCAGTCCATGAGAGCAACATCCTGCCTTATGGGGCAGCTAAGGTCAAGTCTTCCCCCACTTGCATGTGGGAGACATAGAAACATAGAAACAGAGCGAGTCAGAAGGGGCCTCCCGGGCCATCTAGTCTGACCCCCGGCTCCAGACAGCTCTGCTCACAACATGCCCACCATGTGTATGTCCAGCCTCTCTTTGAACACCCGCACCGATGGGGCCTCAACGACCTCCCGTGGAAGCCCATTCCACACCCTCGGGGTCCTGACTGTCAGGAAGTGCTTCCTGGCATCCAAATGGAACCTTGGCTCCCTGAGCTTTGCTCTGTTGGGGCGCGTCCTGCCTTCCTCTGCAGGGGAGAACAGGTCTCTACCCACCTCTGTGTGACGTTCCGGTATCTGAAGATGCCCTCCCTCCGTTTTCCCTTCTGCATACAAACATGGCCAGTTCTTCTTGTTTCCCCATCATCTTAACTTAGTCCAGTCTAGCTATAGCCTTCTTAAAGTGTGGCACACAGGAGTGGAGCTCACGCTTTAGTACCCTGCTCTGCGCTGTTTCAAAGGACAAGGCCATGCTTGTGTGTTCTTTTGGCCAAAGGTATTTTAGAAGCAACATCACTGTCCTACACTCTGGGCTATGTGTGCAGCATCACAGCGAAGGGCACACTGTCAATGGAGAGATGGGACATACACCCGCCTGGCTACCTCTTGACCTGGTGCTGTCCAACATTTCAGCCAAAATCAGAGGCCGAGAGGGACCTCACTGTCTCCTGCCATCACACACGCCAAAGAAGAAACATAATGTTTTCTTTTTCTTCTTCAAAGCTGCTTTCATAGCAAAGAAACCCAGGGAGAACTCTTGGACAGAAGCCGACTTTCTTTTGCCTCAGGAGGGGAAGGCCTCCCAGAGCATGAAAAGTGCTTTTCTTTTTAAGGGACAACCCTGTCACTGTGTACTTTCCCATAACAAAGAGGCCAGTGATGCCCCCGAGCTGGCAGGAGATGTCTGACAAGACCCTGAAAGCGAGAGAGGAGGTGGATTTCTAATTACTGACTTTGGATGCCTGCAAATTCCCACCTATTCAGATCTACGCAGATAGCTCAGCACCCAAGCCACGGTGCAAAACTTGATTCAAGACCCCCTTGCTGTGTGCTTTTGGATGTAGCATGGGACAAATCAGGATGCAGGGCAGACACATCACACTGGACCATTTCTTAAGCAGTTATATAAATTTCTGTCCCCCCCTTCCTTACCATAAGGAAGGCTGAGTGCCAAAGAATTGAGGCCTTTGAATTGTGGTGCTGGAGGAGACTCCTGCGAGTCCCTTGGACTGCAAGGCGATCAAACCGGTCAGTCCTAGAGGAGATCAACCCTGACTGCTCTCTTGAAGGCCAGATTCTGAAGATGAAGCTCAAATGCTTTGGCCACCTAATAAGAAGGAAGGACTCCCTGGAGAAGAGCCTGATGCTGGGAACAATTGAGGGCAAAAGAAGAAGGGGACGGCAGAGGATGAGGTGGCTGGATGGGGTCACTGGGGTGGTGGGTGTGGGCTTGGGTGGACTCTGGGCAATGGTGGAGGGCAGGAGAACCTGGAGGAATGTTCTCCATGGGGTCATAATGGGTTGGGCGCAACTTTGTGACTAAACAACCACAACCTCCCTTCCTTCCAGATATATTTTTTGTCAGTCGAATTTTTTAGGACTCTGTTTCATTTTATATTGTTGTATTGTTAAACCATCCCGAGGCTTTGGTAAGGGATAGTCTAGAAAAGTTTTAAATAAATGAAATAAATAGTATAATGCTAGCTGGTCACATCATGTACTGCATAGGGTTGCTTGTAACCTGAGCACGAAGTTAATGTTTCCGGGGTCTTTTTAATGAGCTGTGTATGGTGTTTGGGCCTGGTGTTTGTCATGGGTGTTTATGGCAGGGACTGCCATTAAAATAGGTGTTTAGGGAAAATAGACCATGCAGGGAAAAAGGCAGAATTAGTCAAGGTTCTGATGGGTACTCAGAAGCAAGGGGGTCTTCCTGAAATGCTGTGAGGATGAAGGAATTAGAGTACCCCTTCAGAGCCAAGCTAAGGCTGATGTCATAGGAAAACATTGCAACTTGGGCTGACCCAATATCTCATCAGATTGTGGGCAAATCCTGCTAGGTCCTGTGCCTTGTCTTTGAAGGAAAAGAACTCCTTGGGTTCCAATTACAGGCAGCAGCATATCCTGACCATGAGGGAACTGGTAGGAGATTGCCCCCCTTAAAATTAAAATTGAAAAAAGTCAGGTGTTGGAATCCAAGCTGCATTTGTCTATGCAAAGCAGATTACTGATGCAAAAAAAGTTGAATGAAACTTGAAAGTACATCTTAAAAACTTCCATTTGCTAAGAAGAAGCAAAAGCCTTCCTTTTAGAATTCCTCCTCTCTCTATTGCTGTGCAATCAATATTTGTGTCTTAAATTTATTATTAGATTTTTAACCCAACCCATTGACTCTCTGTTCTCATACTCTACAGTTATTACTCTCTCTAGTCCTGCTTTCTTCCACCAAGTAGCCTCCAGACTACAACTCCCATCAGCCCCAGCCACCTCCCCATCCTTGGAAAATTATTGTTCCCTATGACCATTTTCCTTTTGGTAATATTCTGTTACTAGTGTTCAGTTTTCTCCCAGTCTTTCAAATATAGAACCCCTAGTGGAGAGTTCATAGAATCCTAGAATTGTAGAGTTGGAAGGGGCCATGAAGGCCATCCAGTCCACCCTCCTGCTGTTGCAGGACACCACGTTACACCATCCCACTCTGATGGCTGCCCAGTTTCACCTTGAATGCCTCCAGTGTGGGAGAGCCCCCCACCTCTCCAGGCAGCTGGTTCCACTGCTGTATTGCTCTGCCAGTGAGGAAGCTTTTCCTGATGTCCGGCCTGAATCTAATTTGTCGCAACATGAGCTGATTATTCTGTGTCCTACACTCTGGTATCAGCAAGAAGAGATCTTGACCTTCTTCTTCATGACAGCCTCTCATGTACTTATAGAGGGATACCATGTCCCTCCTCATCTTCTCTTCTCAAGACCGAACATGCCCAGTTCTCTCAGCCTCTCCTCATAGGGCAGTGTTCCAAGCCCTGGATCAATTCTGTCACCCTTTGCTGGACCCTTTCTAATTTACCTGTATCTTTCTTAAATCTTAGTGCCCAGAACTGGAGGCAGTATTCCAGGTGAGTGGATGCATCTTGCACGAATGTGCATGCATAGAAATGTTGCACAGAAACAACAGGGTGCTTCTGAGCCAGCTGCTTCTCTCACTGCAGCTTCAGGGCTATATTTTAAACCATTTATAATACATAACAGGGTAATTCTATCTTTAAGCAAAGGAACTATTGATTAGGCTTTCATACAAGTGGGAAACCTCTGACAGAACAAGAGAGAAGCTGCACAGTCAACTTAGCTGCAGAAGAGATTTCTGCTCAGGTGCTTACTGAAAATGCAGGTAGAGAAATAAAGAGGCACTGTTTCACGAATTTCCCTAGAGAGCTGAGAAAATGCACCAACGGGTCTGCAGGGCTTAGCACCAGCCTATACAGGATTACTTCTTTGTCTTAATGTTAAGGTGTGCTATAGAACCACATTAGCAGCCTGGTCAGAAGTTTGTGTTCGTCGAGTGTCCTAGATCAGAAGTTCTATTGTAGAAGGTGGGGAAGGTTCTCTGCTGAGTGGAGAATTCTGAGCACCAGAGCTAGTAGGAGATGCTTTGAAAATGAAGAGCAGATTGAGAAAAATAAAAGTCTGACATTTGAGCAGAGAATGTCAAGAAGGATTTTGGCTCCATGCTGGTTACAAGTAAATAGGAAGGAACAGATCTCTGTGTCAGTTTTGCATATGTTCACTCATGAATCCATTCTGAATGGCTTTACATTATCTTTTAAAAGAGCAAAAATCTCCATGTAAAGTGTATGCATTTCCCCTTTTTCTTTGCCCGCCCAATTTCACATGTATTCCTATGTCTCCTAAAACAAGTTTATTTTTGCTGCATTTCCCCATAAATTACAACCCTGATGCATTTTTACAAGCGGAAACATGAGCAATGCAAAGGGCGTAACTGTATTCCAATTCATGTATTAATCTTGGAACTACAAAGTTGGGCAGCTTGCTTAAAAATTCTGAGAAGTCCAAATCTATCCACAAAAGCTTGTGTCCTTGTTTTAAGCCATAATGCAAGGGTGGAAATGAAGTTTAATATATTCCAGAACTTTCCCATTGAAAATCTTCCTTTTCAGTGAAGGCAAAGCTCCTTTGGATAACTGAAACTGTGTAGCTTGTTTGTGTTCCACCCCAATCCACAATTTGCACAGGATTATTGTTTAAATGTGTAAAATGATAAACAACAGATGGGGGAACATTAGCTAAGAGGAAAGGAGCATGTCATGAAAGCAAAGATGGTTAACTGGAGTTCAACAGCCTTTGCCTTATTCTTGCAGGCTGGGAGATTTTGGCATGAGAAATGTGACTGTCCAAACTGAAGATGCTCACAATGACCATTGGTGGTAGACCAGAATCCCTGAACCAAGAGAACCTGCTTTAGAGAGAGGATAATGGATCCACACTCAACAGCAGCAGTAGAACAAATCGTTCTTGAGAGAGGGGATGTTCTAAGATAATGGAATGGACCTCTGGGATGAACCAGTGAGAAGCCCAGCCGTGGTTCTGAGGCCATTCTGAAGGCATAAGGAACCCCGGGTCACAGTAAGGGTATGGCCAGACCCTTCTTTAGACCACAGAAGTTTCTTCGGAGGACCCAGTGCCTACTCTTCTTCCTCACGGCAGCTTATCTGATGGCTGGCAGCATCCTGCTCCTGCAGAGATCCCGCTTGGTCCTCCAACAAAGTGTCCGAGGGACCTCCGGAAACCAGGCCCTACCTGTTGCAGATATCTTGCTCGGTGCTGGGAGCCCAGACAGCAGGCCGGTGCAAAGTTCCCACTTGACTCCGGACTTTCTAGGGAATATGGATGTGCGCCATGGATCAACGCCGGAGCAGAAGTATGGTCCAAGGTGGCTGATATCCAGAAACTCAGAACTGAGGCAGCTACGAAGGAGATGGTTCCTCCGCTTTGTCAATGACCAGGAACCAGCGCAGGTGCCAGGGGCAAAGGTTCTGAAGCGCAGATCTGAGAGCAGAGGTGAGTGCCTTTGGAAAGTTCCCTATAGAGTGTGAGGGGGGCGTTATTTTCAGCACTCGTGGCCTAGGGAATTTCTTGCAGGGATAAGCTGTTCCCCAGCATTGCTTCTTATGAAGTTCAAGGGGTTCATTAGCAGCAACATGTTTAGGAAGAATGGCAGTGTGGTGCTATGGTCAGAGCACTGGACTGGGACTTGGGGGAACCGGGTTCTAGTCCCTGCTCAACCACTACATTTGCTGGGTGACTGTGGGAAAGCTTCTTAAAGTGGGTAGGTGCAAACGACTCTGTCTGTCTGTCTGTCCATCCATCTATCCATCCGTCCATGCCCATATTTATATGCTTCCTATAACTGCCAAAAGGCTCGCCAAAGCAGCTTACAACCACATATTAAACATATCAAAGCAACATATTCAACATATGTATAAATAACAGCATATATAAAAGCTACTGAAACAATTAAAAGATTCGAGCATCACTGTACCAATAAAATAAAAAGGCCGCCAGCATTCATAGTGCTAGTTTATTGGAGGGTTTTAAGGTAAGTCCTCGCCTGGTGCTGAAAAGAAAACAAGGATGGCGCCTGGCGAATTTCCTGAGGGAGGGAGTTCCAGAGATGGGGGGCAGCAGCAGAAAAGGCCCTTTGCTTGGTGGCCACCCCATCATCTCCCCAAGGGGTGGCTCTCGCAGGAGGGCCTCCTGGGCTGATTTTATGGGTATAGAGAGTCGGATAACCAGGCCCCAAGCCTTTTGGGGCGTCATATGTCAAAACAAGCATAATTCATTCATTTCCCTGGTTTTATTAATTTTCGTTCCAAAAGTTTGGCTCTTTTGTTGAGCCATCTAAGGCACAAACTCATTTCCAAAAGGCACCCGGTAAAACGCAAGAAAGCAATGCATTGAGAGGTGCAAGATGCTTTATCCAAGCTCCAGGACTGGGACGCTCCCCAGCAGATCAGGCGTTGTTTGTCACTAAGGATTCTCAACTTTTGCTGCTTTATACCACCCAGAGAGTTCAGCAACTGAGTGGTACAGAAATTTAATTGGGCAACAAAGTCTCACCCCAAATAAGTCCTCCTTTAACTTTACCCTGTGTGTTTGAGATCTGTTTTGAGTTGGGAAAAGCTGCAGTGCTTAATAGCATGTGAAGTAGAATAGACTGAGATCACAAAAATGCTTTTTTTTTTTTAAATTATATTCCAACAGTCAAATGAGCCTTGATGTCTTGGATTTTCCAGCTGCAATAGGTGAAAAAAAAATAGTGAAAGGAAGCTCATGGAGGCTTAGAAACATATTATTCATGTCTTCTGAGTGGGCTATTGTGGGTGTGTGTTCACAGCTTGTGAACTTCCTAATTGCATATTTGCAAATTGCCAGTGCTCACCTCTTCAGGAGAAACATAGCATTCACCTTGTCTCAACTTCTTATTTCAGATTTCTGACTTTTCCTTCTGCATCACTTATATTTTTAAAGTAAGATTTAGACTATTATTCTTGAATCCTGAAGCCAACATTTTAGCTGTTTGTTGGCAATCCATCTGTGAAAACCATCACTTCTTTGTGTTGAATAAATGCATAAGAAACCAACAAATAGTTTTTTAAAAAGCAGAGTTCCTGGTTATATGGAAAGACCATACACTGGGCAATGTTTTCAGGGCTTTGACAAGTATTGCTAACCTGCCTCCTTCCTGTGTGGGTTTTGTGTGCTGCTGCTTGTTGAGTTTTAGCTGCAACCGAACAAGAAGGGGGGTTGTCCACCCAGCTGTCAGCTCTGCTAGTGCTGTCTGATTTCCCTTTGCTGATGCCCCAAGTTTTAGCTCCTGTCTCGGTTTGAAAGAATGAAACTAGGAACATTTGCATGAAAATGTGAACTGGCCAGGTTTCTTTCTTGCCTTCAACATGGAACCATGGAATCGAGAGAGCTTAGGAATTCCTAAAACCCTTGCCCCCCAGCTGTTCCCATGCAGATGGAGCTTGGGGGAGGGTGATTCTCAAGTGAAAAAATACCGAAGGTGAAATTCTTCATGGGCCTTTCTTCACACTCTCTTCCCGGTCTCAGCTCAATTCCTGACCAGGCTAGCTTTGGGATCCGTGGCAAAGGAAAGGGATTCTCTGTAATTGCTCTTATTTTTTCCCTTCGCAACTGCTTTTTGTAGGATGAAACTTTCATTCTGCACATATGAAACAACAGCAAAAACTCCATGGCCTTAGTCACCCAATGAGAAGAAGATGGAGAAAAACATAACTTGTAGTCTAGACGGCATCATTTCCCTCCTGCTTCCCTTTCTCCTCAAATTCCCCGTCTTCCTTACAGCCATCAGAGGCTGAACTGAGTGTTAATGATTCAGAATTCATATTTCCTTGTACTTTTTATCTTTTCTTGTTCAGAATGGCAGATAAATTTAGCTGTGCATTCATAAAGCACTCTCCGTCTTCCTTATGCTGTCAGATCCTTTGCTGTGTAACATATTAACTTCTTTTTAAAATGGCTCATTGTAGCAGTTGTGGAAGGGAAAGAACGTTCCGTCTTGGTCCACACAGTAGTGACTGGCAGATCCATCGGGGTCCGTCTAACAGTACTCTCATTTTTCCACCACCATGCCTGTTCCATGCTGGAAGATCCATACCATGGGCATTTTCATGTGTGGTTTTCCCATGAGCATCCCACCAGAGAAGCCCTCGCCCGCAGTCTGAAGTGGTACAGTCCTTGCAGAGTGTTACCACCCTGGCAGGAACTAACTCACACCTGAGCCCTCCATGTGTAGAGTTGAAGTGGGGAAGGGAACATGTGCTCACATCTGCCCACAAGACCTTCCAGCATTGAGCGCAAAGGTCTGGAAGGACTTCATTGACCCATTTAGCTGAAGTCACATGGTTGTGTGCACTTTCCCCAATATCAGAATTTCTGTACACGTCCCCCAATATCTGAATTTCTGTACACTTTCTCCAATATCTGCAATTCCAAACACTTCCATATTGGAGAACTCCATTGCAAAATTTGGATAAGGGGTACATCTCAAAGGGTGGTTGAGTTTGGGTTCACGTACTGGTTCACATGGGTGGGCCAATGAGGAAGAGGCAGGCAAGAAGTGATGCACCTTGGGATTGAATTTCAGGCACAGTGGATGATGGAGTACCTGTCAACAGTAGGAGGACTGAGAGGGGAGGATGGAAACCGTGATAAAAGTAGAAACCAATCGATGGTCTGTTGGGTAGATTATGTTAAAAAAAAAACCCTGAACCATTCTAACATTGTAGGATTGCTTGTCTTATTGTATGAATGCAGACACACAGAGAGAATGAAGGATATTCTACAAAATTCTGCAAAGCAGGCTTTTTTCTAAGGGGGCAGTGTGAAAAAAGAAACATCTCAGAGTATTTTCAGGGGAGGGGAGTCTTCTGAGAAATTCCTACTTTTAATGCCATATATTGTTGGGATGAGGGGAGAAATGGACATGAACATTACAGCCCAGAACAACAAGATACCCCTATTTCTACCACCACCCCGGCTTTTTATTTGCCTCCATTTACAGAATGCTCTGTGTTTTTATCTGAATGACAGTGCGGGCTGCAACAGGCCAAGAAGAGCCTTGACTGTTTGCACTCAAATATCCCCTTCTATAAGATCCTTTCTCACTGTTTCTACCTTTCTTGTGTGCTCAAGGTACTTACATTGGATGCTTCAGTGGCAATTCCAGAGAGAGGACCCTGAAAGGTGCTGTGTTTTATGACTTGAGGAAGATGACTGTTTCACACTGCCAGGAAGCTTGTGCTGAGCGGTAAAAATCTCTCTCTCTCTCTCTCTCTCTCTCTCTCTCTCTCTCTCTCTCTCTCTTTGCATGTGTGTGCGCATGAGTTGTTTCCTTTGCACTTTGTTCTCTTCTCTAGTCTGGAAAAATTGATCTGGCCTTAAGCCTGCTCTGTTGAATGCCAAATCAGAACATTTATTTTCAATTAAAACAAGAAAGACCTGAGAACTTATACGTTGAGACATGCACTGTCGGAGCCAAGAATTGCATCACAAAATTTGCAGAAATACATACCCCAAAGAATTACTCTGCTTTGATATGCGTAAAAGCCCAGGAAATGCAAAACAGTCTAGTTTACTTGAAGAGGTGGGGAAAGAAGAGGCGGTAGCTTAAATTAGGCATTCAAGTGGCTAAATATAGAGGGATCCAAACCTGGACTTCTAATTGTTATTCACTCGAAGATGTGGGCCTTCATGGATGCATGTATCAGTTTTAGTTTCTTTCACATTCAGATGTTTCAAATCTCACATTCTTCCTGTTCCAATTATGAAGAATGTTGTGCATTTTGGTAAAATCTTACCAAAAGAGAATGCAGAATTCTCACCCTAAATAAGAGTTAAAACTCTGCACTTGGCTAGAAATTGCCCCTGATATCTTGTTCTAGAAATGCATTTCTTGGAGTAAACTCATTCACAGGATGGCCATGTGGATTAATGGGGTGAGATTTGAAAGAACTAAGCATGTGCTGGTGAGAGGAGAAAGAATCAGATTAAATCAACATCAAAGTTAGCATCATCCTGGGACATGGTAAGGACTGCCCATGACAGCTATCCAAAAGGAGAATGAGAATGGGAGAAGATTCAGAGAAACATCTGCAAAGTGGTTCCTCCTTTTTAGGGGGACGAGAAGGAAAATTTCAGATTTGTTGTTAGAGAAAAAGTCTTTGGAGAAATTCCAGCCAGGTTCAAATTCTGGCCAGACAAATGCTTTACCAAGATTGTGAGGGATGGGACAGAAACAGAAACTGTGTTCACACAGAACTCCTTCTTCCGTCTGACGCTGCCCTCACCCCTAGACTAATTTGGCTGTATGAATTTCTCTTTGCTTCGGAAACCAGTGAATTTTGCTCCAGGACTTCCCACCTCTTCCAACAGGGAAATGGTGATTCCGAATGAAACCTCGGGCTTCTATTTCACATCCATGAACATCTCAGACACAGAACGAAATTGTCCCAGTATTTAAAACTGCTGACAGTTGTGTGGATGGTTTGTGCTTGCAAGGTGAAAAGCTTTAGGTCACGCCATATGCAACCTTTCTAGATGTACACCCAAAGTGGAAATTGGGTGCAACTTCTTGCCGTGTTCACACTTCGTGGCAAACACAAAGGTTGACCTCTGTGTACTGTGTGAAATAGGGGGGCAGTCCACCAGGGATGGAGCCCCAAATTTTTCATTGGGAGCCCTGAATCCTTGGGATTGGATTGTTGTCCATGGACTCATGCTGAAATAAAGTTCCAAATGTCTTGAGGCTCACCTGGGCTTGTGGCACACCTGGGCTTCACCACCTGCAGGTCCCCACCCTTGAATCTTTCCACCAGAGCTTTTCCTAAAATCAAATGCTTCCTAGCCACTTTCCATGTATCCCTTTTCCCAACAGGGCTGTGCATGGGAGACAGCCTCCCGTAAAGACACACAGTGAGACAGAGGCTCTGGCGACAGGAGCACGGCTTTCTCAGTGGTGGCCCCAACTATGGAATGATATCCCTACTGAGGCCCACCTGCCACCAACATTGTCATCCCTTCCCTGTCAGGTTAAGAGAGCCCTTTATGCTGAGGTGCATTATTTATTATTTATCTGTAACGGGCTATATCGGCCCATAGCTCACAGGGCTCTCTGAGTGGTGAACAAGTTGAGAATAAGTTTAAAACATACAGCAGTAAAATGAGCACTCAGGGATAAACAGAATACAACAGAACTTGACAGAACATAGATATCCTGGGCTACAGGGTAGCATATCAATGTAATAATGTAATGCACATGAAGGAGCGCCTTCTTCCCTGTGTGCCCACCTGCACCTTGAGATCTGGGTCAGGGGTCCTTCTCTGGGAGCCCTCTTTGAAGGAAATTCAGAGGGAAGGGCCTTTTCGGTGGTGGTGCCCCGACTTTGAAACATGCTCCCCAGGGAGGTTTGCCTGGTGCCGTCGCTTTATTCTTTTCGACACCAGGCAGAAACCTTTTTATTTACCCAGCATTTTAATATTAAATGGGTCTTATCTTTGATCCTATCACTAATGGCCGGATGCAGTGTGTTGGCTGTTGGTATGTTGTGGTTGTTTTTCGCAAACCATTCAGAGACTGTGATATTGGGCAGCTGATGAAAACTTTAAATGAATAAACGATGCATTGTATTTCATAACAAATGCCATGAGGGGTGGGGAACCGGTCTCCATAAAACGGAAAATGCTCTTCCGAGCTATTGAGGGGTCTCACTTTTTGCAGGGCTTACACATACGCAGGGTTGGAGTACGGAGCAGAATGCTACTGTGGAAACACGCTGCCAGTGAACGTGGCAAAGCAGGAGGAGTGCAACAGCGAATGCAAGGGAGAGAAGGGGACCGTCTGTGGAGGCATTAACAGGCTCTCTGTCTACCGGGTGGAGGAGCCGTGGGTTGGACCCAAGCGCCGTAAGTGACGCAAGGTGCCCAAGGGACCATTACCATCCACACTGAGTAGTTGAACCCCCATTTCTTTCTCCCATCTTTTACTTTGAGCATATCCTTTTTTGTTGCTTTTGGCATCCCTCACTAGCCTCATTTCATTCCTAGATTAAGCCCTCCAGGCACCATCCCTGCAATGCCATGCTACCTGTCTGTATTCTTCCTTTGTGGCCGCCTTTTCACTTCCTATACACATCCTTGTTTGTATTTGACTCATCTCTAATTCTTTTGTGAACCAATTGAAACAATGACCTCAATGCTATCAGATTAAGAAACATAGAAACAGAGTGAGTCAGAAGGGGTCTCTCAGGCCATCTAGTCTGACCCCCGGCTCCGGCCGGCTCCACTCATGACATGCCCACCATGTGCATGTCTAGCCTGTCTTTGAACACCCGCACCAATGGGGCCTCAACCAGCTTCCGGGGAAGCCCATTCCACACCCTCGGGGTCCTAACCATCAGGAAGTGCTTCCTGGCATCTAAATGGAACCTTTAATATACGGTATGTTTAACTGGGAAAATTGACAAGGAAGCCCAACTCTGTCACATTCACCAAAAGAGAAAACTTCTCTAAAATGAAAGCACTGGGGTAAAGGAAGTTGAAGGGTGGAGGAAAGGGTTGAAGTTTTCTCAAAAGCGCAATATGGAGCAACAGGTTAGGAAAGAGAGCACCATCATGGTTCATGAAGCTTTTGGAGAGAAGAAGGCTTCCTTCAGAACATGGCAGCCTTTCTGTTAAAGAGATGCAAAAAGGAAGCATTTTGAGGAAACAATTATGAGCAACATCAAGACCAAGATAGAGAGTAAGTTGAGGGCTGTAGGTTGATCACACCCAACTTGAAGGATGGATGGGTATGATAGCCCCAAGCTGGTCAAAGATAGCCTAGCTGAGTCCTCGAGAAAGTGCAGAGGAAAGCCCATCCGAGAGAGAATTCTGAAGATTTGCAATGGATTCTTGATGGAGAATTCAAGCTGTGTGTTGCATATATTAGGAATTACATAAGTACTCTCTATCCTCTAACTATCTGCAGCAGTTCACTGCAGCAGTTGTCATTTCCGGCTCCTACTTCTATCCCATCTGGCCACAGTTTTCCTTTCATGCCTTGAAGAACAACTAAAGCATTTTTAGGGCAAGCCTTTAGAAACTGCAGTCAGCATGACAAAGGATCTTAGCAAATGCATGATACTCGCTGCTTGGAAACAGAAGATGTGGCACTCAGAAATCCTTCGCTTTTGGTTGCTTTTGGCAGCATGAAAATCTGTGCGATGCAGATTGAAGGAGGCTTACTGCTCAGCAAATGTGTCTCGGAGCTCCTGTACAGAGCATTTATGAATGGGTCCAGGTAGGGGATGCTAAAATACATGAACTATACTGAATTCTCTCTCTGGTCCTGCCCAGAGCACCAACTCTGACTTGTTTCTGCTGAATATCTCCCCTCCTGGCAAAAATTTTGCCCATTGCTGCTCTAGAGAAAACATGTGTCCACCTATCCAGTCTGTGATTAAATTTCTAGGGATCTAGAGGGCATCAGTCTGAGGAATGATGCCAACAGCGGACATTAGCAGAATTTCAAGAAGGCAGATAACAGCAACAAAAGGGGCCAAGCTCTGATAAGTAGGGAGAGTCGTCCTGTATGCAGCAAAGTTATCCAAGAACCAGGCCTGGGAGTAGATTGTGTGACAGCACTCTGTGAATGCAGGGATGAATTAATGATATTAATTAATTGGAAGCTGAGCTCAGCATCCTCAAACTCTTATCTGGGACCTGGAAAGGAGACAAGCGCTCTGCTGCTGGCAGTGAGGCCATGGAAAATTTGATGTGTGGGTACTTAGCACAGCTGTCTCCATAGCCATGCCCCCTAGAAAAGCTGTTCATCGCCCTCCAAAGATTGACAGCCTAAGCATAATACCCAATTTATTAGGATCAGAAAGTGGTAAGAGGATTAGAAAACTCGGCCCACCTTGTTTCCTTACATTCCCAAACGCAAGCTTTGTTGTTACTGCTGTTCGAATGGAAAGGTGCCTGTGTAAATGAGCAATCTGCTCTGTATTCACCTCCCGTTAACTAAAGCATGAAAATGCTGTTTCTTTTTTCAGAATGATAAGGTGCACATCTTCCTGATGAATGCATTTTTTAAATGTGAATGCCAGCCTGGGAATACCTTTGCCCCCTCTGTGTAGGAGGTGTGGTCATGTACTGCTTTGATATGAAGGGTACCGGGATCCTTGTTCATCCCAAGCATGGGGTGACAGGAGTAAAATACCAAGCTTGCAAAGGGCACTGTCATGGTTTGAATGTTGGAAAGAACAGGGTCCACCCGCTTGGTCTGACTTCAGCTTCACAGGCTGACCTTGGGCCGTTTGAACACCTTGGCACCGTGGGCATGAAGTGTATTTACTGACACAACTCATGTGTGTCAGTCCAAGCTTAGCAGGGAAGGGGTGAGATACAAATGCACAAACATGAAGGACTGTGTCGTGCCCATTGACAATGAGGGACAGAGTTGTGTAGAACACGTAACAGATTGTAGGGTGTCCACGGAACCTTCCAACATGCCCTTCAAAAGCAAGCTTCCCTTTATCTCTCCCTCTTCGGTGCACATTAACTGGAAGCAAGCAATGAGCAAAGAAACCCTTGCATCAAATCATGCAGACTTTATGTGTTACCTTCATTATCAGAGGCAGCACACCTGTGAACACCAGTTGCTGAGGCAAATGAGCAGGTGGAGGTCTTGCACCCATTCTGCTGGAGGAATTCTGTGAATGGAGTGCTGGACTGGATACACCATTGGTCTGATCCATCCCTGAAGCCATCTAACTCAGGTGCAGACAGGACTGTCCCAAAGGAAACGAGATGACTGACAGGTTAGCCATCTGGGCCTCCTGTTTTCATGGGGGAAAGACCCCATGAGAAAGGGAAAGAGGAGAGTACAATAAGGTACCCTGAAAGCATGACACCAAAATGTTCTGTTCCCGGCATCAGAGAGAGAAACATTTTTTCTTAGGGTCGACATGCCATTTACAGTGGTTTTAATTGACAACAGAAACTGGTTCTCTGTAAAGTGAAAGGGTCTGGATTTCCCGAGCAAGACCAAGCCACCGTACTGCACATTTCTGCAGGGAATAATAAGTATTGTTGGTGGGAAAATGCAAGTCCTCACTCCCACTTGCGGCTAAGCTTGGAGGGGACAGAGGGGAATGCCCCCATTATTCCAAAAGTTCCAGTGCTTCTACCTGGACTCCACTAAACTACCTGCCATTCAGCCTTTCAGTTTGGTAATGAAGGTCATATTCTGTCTGAATATAACTGCCCCAAGTCACCCTGCTTTTGGAAGGAACTCTAAAAGATGCTGAAGTGCAATCAGACAAACCATTTGCCTGCAAGGTGGCACAGCATTCGCCTGAACAGCCAAGCCACAATACCTTGGAAATTTATGTGGACATCCTATTTTGACTTCTGGCGTTGGTTGAAGGACTCCATCTTGGCTTCAGATCAAAGCAGGCCTGCTTTACCATCGTCTTGTGTTCCCATTCTGGCATGCCTGACTTGGCATTGCTTGCAAGACTTGGATTCTGTTTGCAGACGGATTCTTGTTGGAAGACTCAGCATTCAAACACAATGTATTGCAGGTTCCCATGGTTACAGACACTCTTTAGGCAGGTATGAAAGAGTGAAGCAAGTCCATGAAGCTGGATTAAAAGATCATGATGGGGAAGGATATTGAGGTGGGGATGAAATGAAGGAGGATCATGATCCAGTTGGTGGCCATGTATACATATGGACAAAGGAATTCGAACAAAGCTGCAGAGCCCAGGGAAACCAACACATTCCTGCCCACTAAATCAATTTCTCCACATCCCAATTTGTAAGTTCAGCTAATACAATTGGTGATCACTATACATTTATCTGTATGAGATTTCATTGGGACCTTTTTTACTGATTTCCTTGCTAATTCCCCACACTTTGGTAAAAAGCAAACAAAAATATATTTAACTTAGATTCCACATTACAAGCTCCATCAGACTCTCTAAGTGGATTACAGCAACATGACTCTATTTGTGCCAAATACAACTCTATTTGTGCAAATTTCAAGATCCGGTTTGTGCAAATTACTTTCATTTAAAACAAATCAATTGTGCATGGGAGCAAAGCTGAAGATGGTGTTTTGCATGAAAGCTTTTTTCTTCATTTACTGTAAAGAAAGGGGTGTTATTGATTAGTACTCTTTTCAGCTTCCTCTTATGAGAAGTATTGGGAAATAGATATGTTTCAATTTGTATGATTCATCTCATCATTGAGTCATATTTATTTGGCTCCAACTTATGGTTCCCAGTGAGTGTTGTTTGTTGAGAAGGGAGACTAGAACCTTAGTCTGAGGCAGCCAAACTGGTGTTTCATTGCTTCTGAAAATAAGGGGTCAAAACACACCCAAAACAGTCTAACACATACCCTGGCAATTTTCCCAGGATTTACGTCAGTGCTGAAATCTACACTACACAAGAAAACTCACAGCCATTTCTACACGAATGGCAGTTTAGATATTCTTCTTTTCAAAAATACTAAAATACTATTCCCGGTGATTCCTGTATAGCACTGATTCCTAAAATGTGCTTCTGGATCTACCTGGGGTCTCCAAAACTACAAAATTAAAATAAGACTCATTTGTTTCTTGGTTAGCTTGTAGCAATGCAGCAAGTTTGAAAATGCATTGGTAAGAATAACTGAGTCAAAAGTGTGACACAGCCCAAATCAATTGGAAGCAGTTTAAAAAGTTAAGTAGCACAAATGTTGAGAAGATCTGCACAGGCAGACTAACAGGTGTAAAGAGACATCCCTTTGTTCCTACTCTCTCTCTCTCTCTCTCTCTCTCTCTCTCTCTCTCTCTCTCTCTCTCTCTCACACACACACACACACACACACACACACACACACCAGCAAATTGTGCACTGTGATGGTGTTTAATGTGCCATGCATTTGTATCATCAAAAAACAATGAATTCCATTTTTTGTCTCCCTTCCCAGCTCTCCCTTTCATATGCAGAATTCATGAACCTTAATTGATTAATCCATTAAAATACATAAAATCCACTGACTACAATCTCTATCACTGCTGAGCTTGAACCTTTCCCTCCCTGCCTTTTTCCTAACTGCAAACATGTTTTTTTAATGCTTTCCTTCCACAGGTTCATGATTTGGGTTGACATGATCTGCCATGAGCAATCGCAGTTCATGGTTTGAGCAGAATTTACCCAGTTCACAGCCCCTGGAGTGAAGCACAAATGCCCACTGTCTGCAGTCAAAATCCACGCATTTCCAAGCTAGCAATGTGATTCACAGAGTTTAAAATGTGTGTGCCTTTCAAAAATGCAGAGCAGCAATGTGTACTTTTGAAAAATGCACACATTTACTCTCTTACATGTAGGGTAATGAGATGGCAATCAGGCTGAGATATGGGTCAGAACTTTTGCTGATTCACACATCTGGAGTTTCACCAGTGTTGAAGGGCTTCCGGAAAATTCATTTGTGAGCAACCAAGCTCTGTTTTATTTATTTTTCTTTTACATCCAATGATCCCAGGCAGTTGTGAAAGGCAAGCAAAAACAGAGACAGTTTGCAAATGTAAAATTCAAGTCTGCATTAACAGCTCTGTTGCTTTGGTGATATCTGGGCAGCTTCAGAACTTCACCTGTCTGGGGCCCCGTATTCCTGGTATCCTTGGCTCACACAATGGAAATCCATTTTAGCTCTTGAAAGCTAAAATAATCTCAGAGGCTCAGAAAAAGAATGAATAGGAAGCGGTGCTGTGTATTCAGTAGTAAGCAAACACATACAACACACACATACAGAGTCCAGAATAGGCCTCCCTGAAGGTCTTTCACAGCTCATTGAAATTCCATCTCTTTCCTGGTGCAGATCATGAGAAGCTTTGTAGATTTTTATCAAGCACTTTCAAAGCCTTGCAGGGGAAATTCGGGAGGGGGTGGTGGTGGGTGGGAAGCTTCAAAAGAAGACTGACTCAAGAAAACAATTGTGCTGCCCTACGCTGGGGGGATTTAATTTCAACTTTTCTGTTCAAGCTTCACTCTTGAAAATCCAGGGCCCCACGAGCAGACACGGCATGGCTTCAGCTTGACAGGGTACAAAGCCCATTTCCTCCACTTTCTGCCTTGATGCTAGTTATTATGTCTAAACACTCTGTGTGTGTGTTACAGAAAATAATCTAAGACTAATATTATTCCCCGCAGCAGTGGGGGCTACCGTGTTGCTCTTCTCAAGAGAAACCTATTTCATATCCCCACAGAGCAAAGCATTATCTATCGAGGATGTTTCAGAACACCAGAAAATTTAACAAACACCTTACCAGCCTCTTTGATGCACTCCAATTTGACGGTGGAGATGTGTGTCGAATTTTGCTCCAAGAAAGTAAGGAATACTCTCTTCTTACCTCCCTTCTCTTCTTCCTTTCTTATTTGGCTGTCACCTTCATGTGGTGTGAGGGAAGGGTGGATCCCCAGATATTGGACTACCACTTCCACCATCCTTGTTCCTCTGGCTGGTTGGAGTTCAAGTCTAACACCATCTCCAAGGCCACCGGTGTCTATGAGGCTCATGGTGAGAAAGGCCTTTGGTGGTCCAGCATGCTTTTTGTTTTGTTGTTATGGTGATAATCTAGCAGGGATCAAGTTATTCTGGTATATGAGTTTGGGATTGCAGTCTCATTTCAGGCAGTTAGGGTACAATCTTATGCCCCCTGTTGTCTGGAGCATAGAATTGCATCCCCAGGTCCCAGGTCCCAGGTCCCAGTTCGAGTGAGTTTGAAAGACAACCCCAGTGCCCTGCTTATCTGCCATGGGAAGGTCTGCATTGGCTGTCTTTCCAAGGATGCAACTAGGTCTTGGAGAGGTCAAAAGGAGACATGCTTCCATCCTTTCTCCATGCCTCCCATCATGCTTATTCTAGATGTCCAAAAACAGCCTTCTAGGGAAAAGAAATACACAGCACAAGTCACAGTGGGGCAGAGACTGGACCTTGGCCCACGCTCCAGCTGCCTCTGAGTGGAGGTGTACATATATCCAAAACAAGGCTCTGCATTGTGCCCTTCATGACTTTCTCTTTGAGAATAGAGTTTTAAATCTAATCAGACCGACTCTTCCTCCTCCCTTCAAAACTGGGCCAAGAGTTCCAGCAATTGTTCTCCTTGCCATGGTCTGCACTTAAAGGAAGAGTCAGAACGGGATGGGTTGAACCCATTTAAGTTGACAATCTATTTGATGCCTTACCGTGCTGCTAGAACACTGGATGAGAGCCATGGGGACTGTCCATAAATTACCTCATTAGGAGTGGATCATTACGTTGTCCAACAGAGCCTGCACTTGCTGCGGGAGAAGCGCACTGGGAACCTCGCACAAGGCACATCCGGGAGTATGAACATTGTGTCAGCTTTGATCGGGCATGTTTGGCACGCATGGGAGAAAACTGATCTCAGTGGGGATGGTTTCATCCTCCAGTTCCATACAGAGGATCAGTTTTAGGCCTTTTTTAATTTTTGAAGAGGATTGAAAGTAGTTAGAAGACAAACATTTCATGTAGCATTCAATTGGTGTAATTCATTGGTGTACAGGGACTGGATCTCCTGAGTAGAGACACATAACAGAAATTTCTCCTACTTTTCACAGCTTTAACCAGGGGTGCTTGGAAAGGGCATTGGCCCACCCGTTGAAGCAAACCATCCCGGGGTGGATCAGAATGCAGCTCACTTTCTGATTTCGCTTTTTTCTGTGTGATTCTTGGCTCAAAAATGTCCCAGGAGGTGCATTTTAGGATAAAATGCATTTCAGGTACAACCCAATGGAGCTGCCTAGAATCCCCTCAAACCCGGAGGGTTATGAGCATCCTGTGTGAATGAGAGAAGCATGGGGATAAAAGGTGCTTTCATGCTTTTCCACTCAGAAAAGCAGGAAAATGGTCCATTTCAGGAAAGGAACCAAAGCATTTTGGAGGCGGAAAGGAAGAGGTCGAAGCAACATCAGCTTCTGTATAGCCTGAAGTGCTGATCAGGCATCATCTTGGAAGTTAAGCAGAGTCAGGCCTGGTTGAAATCTGGATGGGAGACTTAAATGTTGTGAACTGTTGAGAGTTTTGGCTACTGGCAGTATAGGGAGGAGGAGGAAGAGGAGGAGGAGAAAGCAGCTGATCTTGGTGGCACTCGTCTCTTCCCCATCCCACTGAACATAGATATCTGTTCACTGACCCTCTTGGGTTTCCCCATTGATGTGCTTATAAAATATCCACACTGAAAAATTCATATTTAAATAGTTGTGATACAGTTGCAGGAGAATGTTCTTTGGTCTGTATAAATGAACTGAGTATTTATGAATGAGCTGAACCAAGTGACCTAATGTGGAGAAACTGTACAAAAATGGATGTGCATTTTGTGTGTATTGTTTTTTAAAGTATGTGCAGACAGATGCAGAAATGAGATGGAGCAGACTTGTGAATGCAACTGTGTGGGCTGAATATATGTGACCAGACACAGATTCATTTGCCCATCCTTGAGTTAGGGATATATTGCCTTACAAAATATACATTTGAAACCCCTTTTCCAAGAGCATCTTTATGATCTTAGAGAAGCAACCAGCATGGCTTTTTCTGAACTGGCTGTGAAGGAAGGGAAGGGGGGATTCTAGGCAGATCTCAAATGCAAGACAAGAGTTCTTTTCCAGCCTCAGATCTGGAAATCCAAATGATCTTATGGCTCTCTAGACTTCAGGAAAGACAGATCAATCCATGTTATTTTCACAGGTAGAGTCAGAAGTCTGTTCTATTGCATTTCTATACCAGGCTGCAAACATCAAAAAGTACAAAAATGTTCATTGATTTCCATGCATAATTTCCCATAATGTAGAACTGATCAGGCCAGTTCATTTATAAATGAAAATTAATTTATAAATGAAAATTTGATCACTATCAAAAATATATGATTTTTCCTGTTTTCTTTTCTTTAAAACACACACACACACACAATATGCAAACAGGGCACAGTCACTGAATGCAATTTACTTATGACTATGTGAAATGGACCAAGATCAGAAATAGATCCATCCTTAGAATGAAAGAATAGAAATTCCATCCTTTGTAGAAGCAAATGGATTGGATTTTCATAGCCATGATACAAAGGGCAACAACCAGGAGGGGGAAGGAAAGCAAGGTGAGCGTCTCTGCAAGAGATGGTTCTGGCAGAGAAGGTGGCAAATGGTAGTTGATACCCCACGGGGTCATATCCCTTCCTCCACTGCAGCCAGGTAAAATAATTTCAGAGGTACCCAATAGGTGGAAGAACGGACCAAATGATCCCAGCTGAACCGATGGAGCTGAACCCCAACAATGCAATGTGACAACGAAGTTCTTGGTTTGGAAGGGCTGTTTCCACTGATAGCCAGCATTAAGGAAATTGTATTAACTGATCCACCGGCCGCAACGAATGCAATTAATTGCCTGCAACATCCTTGGTTAGATGGAAGCCTCATTAACCCTTTTGGTCAGGCAACCTCTGTCCTCGGAAATGCTCCTACATAGGCTGGAGCATCTTTCCCTGCACATTTGCAAGGCCATTCAAATGAGGAATGTTCCATTGCACGGTTCCATCCTGTGGCTGCTTGCTGTGTCTTCAGTTTGTTGGCGCTTCCTTCTCTACCCTCTTTTTCCTCTGCTAGGAATTCCCTTTGGCCGTCATCAGAGGACCTCAGTGCCACTGCGGCTTCCCCACTGTCCATTTCCCATTACACAACAGCTCCAATCGGTCATTTTGTAGCAAGCTCAAAAATGTCAGTCAAGTGCCACAGGAGCAGGACTTCCGCTTTGTCTATCAAACGCCAGTCCAAGGTAAGGGTGGATTAGTTATATCCATAAACAGGGGCCAAGAGCTATGTATCAAATGCCCACACCTGCTTTATTCATTTATTATTAAATTTATATTCTGCAGATCAATAGTCCACCAGGACTCTCTGTACAGAACACACAGAATCGAAACAATAAGTAACAATAGTGGTAAAACAACAGTGTGCATAATGCGACAATAAACCAGTAAGCTAAACAAACACCGCAATAAACACAACCCATAACAATATCATATACAATGTAATATGCAGCGGAGAGTTTGAATGGTAACACAAGCATTAATAATCTATTAAAAATCTAAAACCTGCTAAATTTTCAATTCCAATGTAAAATGTAGAATTTATTTTTTTTTAATTAGTTATTAAAATATATGGAAATAGTGTTTTTGCCTGGCTCCAGAAAGATTGTAGAGAAGGTGCCAGGAAAACTGTTCTTGGGAGGCTGTTCCATAAACGAGGTGCAGCCCTCTTGTTTGCCATCCTCCGTATCTCGTTGGAGGATCGCTGCTTGAGAAAGGCCTCCAATCCCTATCTTAGGAGTCAGGTAGCACATCTGGGAGCAGGTCATCCTTCAAGTATCCTGGTCCCAAGCTGCTTGGGGCTTTATATGTTAAAACAAGCACCTTAAGTTGGGCCTGGAGCTTAACTGGCAACCAATGACGTTCATATACTATTGGTATAATGTGGACACGAAGCCCTTTTCATTGGGTTCAGTCATGTCACACCTTGATTCACACCTAACAGAGGAGCACTCAAAGAAGCAATGCAAGGTGTTCCAAGGTCTGGGCTAGGACTTGGACATCCGTCTGAGGTTGGAAGCAGGAGTTGTGGGACAGCCAGTTGCCAAGATGGGGATGAAGGACAACCCAAGAGGACAGGGCAGAGAAACAAACCAGGAGCCAAGACAAAAGGACAACCAAAGGTACAGGGACTCACAAGGCTTCCATGGAACAAGAAGTTACCTCATGCTCCTTCCTGACCAGGAGATTCCAACGGCTACCTGAGAAGCTGAGAACTTTTCATTCCATGACTCCCCATACAGGAGAACTGTTCATTTATCCTAGCAGTTCCTGATAGTGTAGATCAGTCTGGATAGAACAGGAGCTGTCTTGCAACCTCCCGCTGTTGCCTGCATGAGAATGAGCTGCATCCTGCCCTAAGTCTGGAAGTAGTGCTGAAACTGCTCCAGACCCCCCCCCCCCCCGCCGACCCCAACCCCATCTTTCAGGTGCTAAGAGGCCCTCCTGAGTTTTGTCTTGTGTAAAAACAAAACAGAGTAGCGACAATTAAATACCCTCTCTGTCTGGTTACAGATACCCGTTGCACTGACCGCAAGTTTCTCCCCACCAAATCCAAATCCTTTGTGGCATTGTCAAGCTTCCCAGGAGCTGGTAACACTTGGGTTCGCCACTTAATAGAACACGCTACAGGATTCTACACAGGAAGTTACTACTTTGATGGAACCCTCTATAATAAAGGTAGGAGATGGACTGCAGTTGCCAAACCCCCTGGGTCTGAGCAGGGAACAACCCAAGGCTGCTCCTACTTGGTCCACTGAACTGGCCACCCTCTTCCACTAACTTGGGGAATAAGCATAAGGAGTTGTGGGAAAGGGACCACCCACCTAACCAGCTAGATCAGCTGAATCAATCATCCCTTTGTCCATCAACTGTCAAGAGTGAGGTTTCCCCTTTTGCACATTCAATGCAACGGACCATTCCTTTTCAAAAGCTCTTTATTCTCTGAAGGAGATCCAGTAAGCACTAAACGAGCCTCTGACCATGCACAGAGCAGTTCCTTGAACGCAGTCTAGCAGCTATGTCCAAGTACCCCCTTTTAATCACAGCTGAGCTGTGATCAAGTCTGAGAATGCCCAGGAATGCTTGCAGCTTCTTTCGGCAAACGATGCAAAGCCCTCAAGGCCTCTGCACAGAAGCAGAATTCCACTTTTGGAAAAACCAGTATGGTTGGTCCATTCATAAGGCACAAATTTGACCCGATTCTTAAGTGTATATAAACGTTTCTTCATATTAAACAGGTTTCAAAGGGGAGAAGGATCACTGGAGAAGCCGGAGGACAATTTGTGTAAAAACTCATGAGAGTGGCAAAAAGGAAATCGAGCTATTTGATTCCGCCATCTTGCTGATACGTAATCCATATAAGTCGTTGGTGGCAGAATTCAATCGGAAGTGTGGAGGTCACCTTGGATATGCCTCTGATCGAAACTGGAAAAGCAAAGGTAACTGGAGGGAACATTAGTTGTTTCAAGGGCCACAAGACTTGGCCATTTTTACTGCAAGAAGCTAACATGACTACCCTCTGGGAATGTTTGGGATTTAGGGGGTTATGTACCATATTGAGGGAGCAAGATCAGGACTTTGCTGCTATTTTGTTTTGATATTCACTAGCACAAAGTGACTAGTTCTTTTTAAAAGCTTTCTTTTGCCTTCCACCTTAAATGTGTTAAGAGACAGCCTTCAACATGGCAAAATCGGCTTCAACCTATGAATGGAATTCCATTATGGAAAAGCTCTTTGGGAATGCCAAAGGCCAGAGAGGTAGGGCCAAAGAAAAAAATGGTTTTGGAGCAAAATACCAAAAAAATCACCATATTTTATTTTTTGATATGGAAGTCAAGGGGCAAGAGAAAGGCTAGGGGAAGGGGATACAAAATGGAGGTGATTCTGGGGTTCAGGCTGGGAGATATAATTGGTTCTCCTTTATTTTCTTTCCTACCATACAGAGTGGCCAGACTTTGTGAACAGTTATGCATCCTGGTGGGCTTCCCATGTGCTGGACTGGCTCAAATATGGCAAACATCTCCTTGTCGTTCATTACGAAGACTTAAAACAGACCCTGTTCCCCAAGCTGAAAGAAATAGTCACGTTTCTGAACATCACAGTTCCAGAAGACAGGCTGATCTGCGTCGAGAACAACCGAGACGGGAATTTCAAACGGTCGGGACTCAGGCAGAAGGCCTTCGAGCCCTTCACGAAGGAAATGAAAGACTTGATCGATAAATACATTGTGACTGTGGACAAGGCCCTAAGAGAAAGAAACTTTATTGGCCTGCCAAAAGAGTATTTACCCAGATGATGCCCCATGGCCTGCAAGCTGCGTTTTTAAGAAAAGCTTAATAATGAAACAGGAAAGAAAAAAAAAGGCCAGGGATTTTAAAGCAGTGGAAAGGCAGAGTTTGCACGGAGTCTGCTGATTAATGCAAATTCTCAAGACTTGGATGCTCTTCAGGAGTACTAAGTGCTACGAAAGGCAAGCAATGAAGGATGGAAATTGGGTTATAAACCAAGGCAAAAGCCATTAGCATCTCTGCCTGTGTGTGTCCTTTTCTCTATAAATGGCTACAAATTTTAACACTTCTGTGCACTGCTAATTCCAAGAAAAGGGGAAACACGTTCCTACGTCTCATGCTAACTGCCTACTAGCAATACTTTCTCAATACTCTCTAGGCATTTTATAGCAATTTTGGCAATTCAAATATGTATTTCCCCCCTCCAGGGTTTTTAATTTGTTGGTTTTAAACTCATCCTGATAAATATTTTTAACTAATATTTTAGCTAAATATTGAATTTTAGCTAAATATTGAATATTAGTTCAATGAGAGAGCGAAAACAAAGCTGCTTTCTTTGTCTTTTTTCCTAGATTTATGAATGTATCAAAAGGGGAGTTGTGTCTATCTGGATCAAGACATGACATCTAGGATTGCAGCCATAGTTATGAAATTAATTTTGGCAAAAGAGTTTACTTTTCTGTAATTGTAAAGCTAGGAAAATGTTTCTTCCCAATTTAATTTCAAATTGGTTTGGGTTGAACCCAGACTTTGTTAACCTCCGAATAAGCACCCCTAAATAGAATAGAATTTCAGTCCTGTTGATTTCAGTTGGTTTATTCTAATCATGACTTTGCTGGAATTAAATCCATATTATCTAAATTTGGGAGTAATTAAATTTCAAGATTACCAATGATGTAGGTCTTTGGTTTTAGGAAATTTACAGGAGAAGGATTATCAGAGTAAAGAATTTGGTAATAGAATTTCACTATGTTGCTGTCTTGATATTTATCTTGGGAGGGACTTCTCAAAATTTTCTTACCACCCCTTCTTAGAGGTCCACTTATAGGTTAGGAGAAACTTCTCCTGTACATGCCCCTTCCAGAGCTCCACAATTCTGGGTGATAGAGGAGATAAGCCTCTGAGGTGATCCATCCCTTGCCCATGGGTACCACCATCCTGAATGCAAGTTTCAGGAGTTTCCTATAGCCATTCAGTTGCTCACCAACCCTATACCATATCTACCAATTTTCCCACCATGATCTGCAAGTTAAGGGATGAACTTGGCAGTTTTAAGGCTGCTCCAGCTATCAGGATAAACCAGGTGGAAAACTCTGCAGCCCAAGCAAATCTGGGGGCAAGCAAAACAATCTTACAGGCCCCTTCAGTATCAGTAAGAAGTAAGAAAGAAGTATCAGTAAGAAGGACTTACTGAGTCCTTCAGCATCACCACCAGCAGCAGCTGGGAGCCTGAAATCCACAGTGACCAGGCAGGTGACAAGGAGAGCGTAAGTGGTATTGTGCCCGAATTGGCTGGAGGCATGCCCATTCTTGCACAGGAGTAAAGAAACTCAACCTGCTTGCACTTGATGGATTTTCAGTATTTCACCGATTAAAGAACCAAAATTAGGTGGAGTGGGAGGTGGTTCTCACAGCTTCTGCTTTTAAAGTGGGCCTGTCTTGCATTGAAACAACACAACCAGGGAAATGTGCATAAATTTCTGCTGTAATCTGCGCCAATTCTGTCTGCAGCTTGTGCAACTGTCAGCCAGGTTATATGCAATTTTTTGTTTTAAAAACAGAGAGGCAGAGAGAGAAGACCCGCTTTAAAAGAAGCGGGCCCTGGGTGAGTTGGTGCCAGTGCTTGGTTGACACACTGTCCTCATGTAGATATGTCATAGGGTAGGCATGTCGTGAGCAAAGCCGGGGGTCAGACTAGATGGCCCAGGAGACCCCTTCTGACTCACTCTGTTTTCTATGTTTCTATATTTCTATATCCCATAAAACCACCATTTAGCATTATGGGATTAAACCATGATGAATTTGGACATTCCATTTCCAAATTTACTTTAACCATCATCAACGTTTAGGTCAACCTAAACTAGGTTTAGCCACATCTGTTTCTTAAAGGGGGCTTAACATTAACTAAGGTTTGTTGAGACAAGCCAGTTTCTTAAACTATAGGGTTGAAGTTGGTTCATTTCCAACAAGCTGTAGCTGGCCAGGAATGATGGAGTTGTAGTCAATAAGGGGGTCACTTGCCCTTTAGAGATGGCTGAGCTGTGAGATACCATATTCCCCCCACCTCTTTCCTCTTTTAGTGTTCTGCTGTGAGAGCATTTATTTCCTTAGAAATTCTGCTTCCTCCACAGTCCTTCATTCAAACGGATCACATTGTGGAAAGCCGGATTAGGCAATTCCATTCCCAGAACAAAATGGTGCTAAACCAATAAGAGGGAAGTGGGACATCCTTCCAAGTGAGTTCACACAGAGCTGCAGCCTAAACTACTCTTTAAAATAAAAGTTGTGTGCTCTTGATGACACTCCTAGACTGGAGCACAACTGTGGCAGGAACATCCCATTAATCCTGTTGTTGTGTACCAAAGTGCAAAGGTTCAGAATTAGTCTCAAGGTTGGGACCGTCCTGGACACCACACCCAGCCTGCCTTGAACCCCAACCATGTTCTCCTGGGTTCTCTAGAAGGTCACCTTCCTTTTCCCCTGGCCACCAGGGATTGGGTAGCTGCTCAGAGTTGCCCAGTTGCTCCCCTGGCATTTTTAAGCGACTGAAATGCTTCTTCTAAGACTTAGATACCAGCCATCAAAGTCATGATGTGCCAGAATGATTTGCTAATTCTACCCCTGTCTCTTCTGTCTTTGGTCCTTCCAAGAACAGGAATAGGATTCCTGAGAAGTTCTCTGAAATGGAAGTCAGCCCTTGGACTGAAAGAGCTTCAACTCCTTCCCCAAAAGCTCTGTGCTCTAAACAAATGTGTTACACTCATGTGCTAAGGAGGCAGTTGTGTGGACTTCTCTTGTTGTGCTGTGCTCACATGGAGATCCCATGAATAAAAGCCGTCCTGCCTTGCTCAGCTCTTCCCAGCTCAAGGTTGTGGCTTCCTTGATGGAGTTTATCCATCTCATAGCTGGATTTCCTTTGCTAATTCTGCCTTCCACTCTTCCTAGCATGATGGTCTCCAGGAGTTTTGCCTTCTCATGGTTTGCCTGAGGTAGGACAGCCTTCGTTTTGCTTCTAGGGGAAGTTCTGATTTGATTTATCTCGGGCTTACTTGTTGATGTTTCTGCTGGTGCAGGCTCTCCTCAGCACATTGTTTTGAGTGCTGTCAGCTTTCTTCCTTGTGCAGCTTTCATACCCAAGTATTCAATTGTGTGGATGATCTTGGCCTTAGTATCCAGTGAAAAATCATTATACAGTACTTGATGATCTTTTCTTGTTCCTTCATTGGACCCTAATCCATATCCCTCCAAGTTCATGCAAGGACACTGTAAGCACCCACACCTTTGCAGAAGCAAGTGTTTCCAGGACCATGCTCCATGTCAACCCACCCACACCCTGCAAATTGCCCTTTGAGGCCATGGGGTGGAGAGGAAGCACCATAATTACTGGAGAAATAAACTGCTTGCACATCCTTGGAAGATGTCAAGAGAGTCAACACATACCTCCAGAGGTCCGTATGTCTAGCTAACGTTAATGATTCCCCCCACATCAAGTTTATGAGACTTGAATCTTTGTCAACACAGCCAATAAATTTGTTCTGTTTTTTATCCCCTTCTTTTTTAATTAGTTCCACGGTACCACACTCAAGTGATTAATTACAGATCAGCTTCCACCTTCACCAGCATCGAGGCATTCATATATCAAACTTGTGAACAATGTGGTGTGTGAGAAACTGGTGAAAGAATTATTTCCCTATCGTTAGACTGCTCTGTAAGGTTTGTTCAAAGGAATTCTTTTCCTTCAAGCCCCAGAATAATTTTATCAAGGTGACAATAAGGGGGTCACTTGCCCTTTAGAGATGGCTGAGCGGTGAGATACCATATTCCCCCCACCTCTTTCCTCTTTTAGTGTTCTGCTGTGAGAGCATTTATTTCCTTAGAAATTCTGCTTCCTCCACAGTTCTTCATTCTAGTGTTCCTAGTGTTCCTCTTCCTTTGATTCCAACAGATACTAACTTAAGCTTTGAAGTCTGAGGAGAATTAGCAATGGCTCGACCGTCCAAAACTAACTCCCCCTTCTCTTCTGCAGGGAGGAAGACAAAGCAGAAAAAGCTTCATCTGTCCAATATATGGCATGTTTTACAAATGGATTGTAAGGCATAATATTTAAAAATGACCTTAGCTCCTAATAGATTTTCTTTTCATCAGACTTTGGGCTGGGGGTGAAGGAAGATGGAAAATATCATTTCCAAAAAGGTCAACACAGAAAAAGATAGTGTTGCCCCCTTCTAGTGCTTGGGGGACGCACACTGCAATCACTGGTGGATATTAACAGGCAAAATTGTGTGGACCCATGATCCAGGCCTTCTCTGATGCCCAGTCTCTGGCTGCCCTCCATTTCGGTCTTTCCCCAGCCCCAAGTCACTGGCAAAAGCATTGTATATTCATACATGATCACTCTGAGAAGGGAATGGTCAGATTTAGGGCATGGGGTGTTTTGGGGCTGGCTGTTATGGATCATCCCATTCCCTCTTTCTTTCTGGTTACCCAGCAAAAGACAGACCTTTGTAGTTCAACAAGAGGTCGTTGAGGCCCCATCGGTGCGGGTGTTCAAGGATAGGCTGGACATGCACATGGTAGGCATGTCGTGAGCAGAGCTGGCTAGTGCTGGAGGTCAGACTAGATGGCCCAGGAGGCCCCTTCTGACTCACTCTGTTTCTTTGTTTCTATGTTCTACTTTCCTCCTCCTCCTCCTCCTCAGAATCAGACCGATCGATCTGAGCAGTCTGGGGTGTGCAAGAGGTGGAACCCCTCTCTATAGGGGGAATATTTGTTGTTGTTGCAGAGTGAC